TACTGCATCCTGGCCTATTTCCAGTGGTCTTGACTAAGTCTTGCCATTGGTCATCTACTGCATCCTGGCCTATTTCCAGTGGTCTTGACTAAGTCTTGCCATTGGTCATCTACTGCATCCTGGCCTATTTCCAGTGGTCTTGACTAAGTCTTGCCACTGGTCATCTACTGCATCCTGGCCTATTTCCAGTGGTCTTGACTAAGTCTTGCCATTGGTCATCTACTGCATCCTGGCCTATTTCCAGTGGTCTTGACTAAGTCTTGCCATTTGTTATCTACTGCATCCTGGCCTATTTCCAGTGGTCTTGACTAAGTCTTGCCACTGGTCATCTACTGCATCCTGGCCTATTTCCAGTGGTCTTGACTAAGTCTTGCCATTGGTCATTACTGCATCCTGGCCTATTTCCAGTGGTCTTGACTAAGTCTTGCCATTGGTCATCTACTGCATCCTGGCCTATTTCCAGTGGTCTTGACTAAGTCTTGCCATTGGTCATCTACTGCATCCTGGCCCATTTCCAGTGGTCTTGACTAAGTCTTGCCATTGGTCATCTACTGCATCCTGGCCTATTTCCAGTGGTCTTGTCTAAGTCTTGCCATTGGTCATTACTGCATCCTGGCCTATTTCCAGTAGTCTTGACTAAGTCTTGCCATTGGTCATCTACTGCATCCTGGCCTATTTCCAGTGGTCTTGACTAAGTCTTGCCATTGGATCACAGTTGCAAGGATGAGAGAGTGAGGCTGAAGTATTGAGCAATTTTACCTAAGTTAAAAACAAAATATAGCTCTAATCAAGGCGACCGCTTGAGTTGGCTAAGAATATAAAGGGTCGTTCATAATGGTATGTATTTATTAGGGTTGTTTCATGTTATTCTTCACGACCAAATATTTTTTTTAATTTAATTTTTTTTTCTCCTAAAATTATAAAATTATATTTAAGGAATTTTTTTTTAAAATACAAAAACACATTATTGATACCTTGACCTTGGGGGCGCGTGTATCTGTTTGGAAAATATTTTCGGTATCGGAGTGCTCACCAATATGATCAAACAACTGAAATGTAGACCATTAGCCTTTACAAAAAAATTAAGTGCGTGTTAATCAAACAAGAACATTGATACGAATGTTAAACATTTTAAGAAATAGAATTAAACATTGAAGTACCCATTTCAAAAAAACGTTTTAATAAAAACAACAAAAAAGTTAACCAAATATACAGTGCAAAGTCAACCTAATATACAGTGCATAAGTCAACCAATTATACAGTGCCCAAATCAATCAGATATACAGTACCCAAGTCAACCAAACATACAATGCATAAGACAAACAAATATAACATAAAAGTCAACAAAATATGCAGTGCCAAAGTCAACCAAATATACAGTGCCCAAGTCAACTAAATATACAGTGCATAAGACAAACAAATACACAGTGCATAAGACAAACAAATATAGTACAAAATCAACAAAATATGCAGTGCCAAAGTCAACCAAATATACAGTGCCCAAGTCAACTAAAAATACAGAGCCCACGTCAACTAAATATACAGTGCCCATATCAACCCACTATACAGTGCCAAAGTCAGCCAAATACACAGTGCCCAATTTCACCAAATATACTGTGTATAAATGCAGTGCCCAAGTCAACAAGACAATAAATGCCCAAATCAACTAGAAATAAAGCTTTTCATCACCTGAATTATATCAGCACTAAAACTATTTTAGGACCATTATTTTGTGCAAAACAAAAATTTATTTTGAAAACAGAGAAGGTGACTTTTACAGAACAGAGAAGGTGACTTTTACAGAACAGAGAAGGTGACTTTTACAGAACAGAGAAGGTGACTTTTACAGAACAGAGAAGGTGACTTTTACAGAACAGAGAAGGTGACTTTTACAGAACAGAGAAGGTGACTTTTACAGAACAGAGAAGGTGACTTTTACAGAACAGAAAAGGTGTTTTTTACAGAACAGAGAAGGTGACTTTTACAGAACAGAGAAGGTGACTTTTACAGAACAGAGAAGGTGTTTTTGACAGAACAGAGAAGGTGACTTTTACAGAACAGAGAAGGTGACTTTTACAGAACAGAGAAGGTGACTTGTACAGAACAGAGAAGGTGACTTGTACAGAACAGAGAAGGTGACTTGTACAGAACAGAGAAGGTGACTTGTACAGAACAGAGAAGGTGACTTTTACAGAACAGAGAAGGTGACTTTTACAGAACAGAGAAGGTGACTTGTACAGAACAGAGAAGGTGACTTTTACAGAACAGAGAAGGTGACTTGTACAGAACAGAGTTCTTTTACTATATTGCCAGAAAAAGAAAACAAAGGAAGAAGAGAAAAAATGATGAATCAGACGTAATAAAAACATATTAGGAAAATTTTTTTTTTTTTTAAATCTTAAATTCAAAATATAATCATTTGTTTTTAAAGAACAAAAACATGTTCTCACCAATTTCAATGTTTTGGGAACTTGGAGTATGGGAGTTATCATTCCTTCTCTTATATCATGGGCTGCAATCTCGTCCAACATTTTAGAAGCTAAAGAGTTAAAGCGATCACATTCAGGGTAATGTTCCTTGGAGCCCACGCTTGGGCTCAATAACTTTGAGGATCATTGTATTTGGACAAAACTCTCCATCTTGACCGACCGGAAGTGATTTTCTGATTTCGGCAGAGACCGATCGAAAGTGACATAAATCTAATCAGTCAAAATAGGGAGGGGGTGGGTATGCTGAAATTTCACTGACTATCCCCACACAAACATGACGCAGTATAAATGTTTACATGAGACACGTGGTCAATAAGTTGACCAGAATGATAATGATGAAATTCAATATGTTAATGAATTGAATAAGCCTGGCCTTTAATTTTAACACAAATTTTTTAAAAAAATATAATAATGGGCACGGCAAACCACTCCAAGCAAACCACTCGATACAGTGCCAAGCAAACCACTCGATACAGTGCCAAGCAAACCACTCGATACAGTGCCAAGCAAACCACTCGATACGGCGACAAGCAAACCACTCGATACAGTGCCAAGCAAACCACTCGATACGGCGACAAGCAAACAACTCGATACGGCGCCAAGCAAACCACTCGATACGGCGCCAAGCAAACCACTCGATACAGTGCCAAGCAAACCACTCGATACGGCGACAAGCAAACCACTCGATACAGTGCCAAGCAAACCACTCGATACGGCGGCAAGCAAACCACTAAACCACTCGATACGGCGCCAAGCAAACCACTCGATACGGCGCCAAGCAAACCACTCGATACGGCGCCAAGCAAACCACTCGATACGGCGACAAGCAAACAACTCGATACGGCTCCAAGCAAACCACTCGATACAGCTCCAAGCAAACCACTCGATACGGCGCCAAGTAAACCACTCGAACGGCGCCAAGCAAACCACTCGATACGGCGCCAAGCAAACCACTCGATACGGCGCCAAGCAAACCACTCGATACGGCGCCAAGCAAACCACTCGATACGGCGACAACCAAACAACTCGATACGGCTCCAAGCAAACCACTCGATACAGCTCCAAGCAAACCACTCGATACGGCGCCAAGCAAACCGCTCGATACGGTGACAAGAAAACCACTCGATACGGCGCCAAGCAAACCACTCGATACGGCGCCAAGCAAACCTCTCGACACAGCGCCAAGCAAACCACTCGATACAGCTCCAAGTAAACCTCTTGATACAGCTGTAAGCAAACCACTCGATACAGCTTCAAGCGAACCTCTCGATACGGCTCCAAGCAAACCACTCGATACAGCTCCAAGCAAACCACTCGATACAGCTCCAAGCAAACCACTTGATACAGCTTCAAGCAAACCACTCGATACAGCTTCAGGCAAACCACTCGATACTGCTCCAAGCAAACCACTCGATACAGCTCCAAGCAAACCACTCGATACAGCTCCAAGCAAACCACTCGATACAGCTCCAAGCAAACCACTAGATACAGCTTCAAGCAAACCTCTCGATACAGCTCCAAGCAAACCACTCGATACACCTCCAAGCAAACCACTCGATACAGCTACAAGCAAACCACTCGATACAGCTTCAAGCAAACCACTCGATACCGCGCCAAGCAAACCACTCGATACAGCGCCAAGCAAACCACTCGATACAGCTCCAAGCAAACCACTCGATACAGCTTCAAGCAAACCACTCGATACGGCTCCAAGCAAACCACTCGATACAGCTCCAAGCAAACCACTCGATACAGCTCCAAGCAAACCACTCGATACAGCTCCAAGCAAACCACTAGATACAGCTTCAAGCAAACCTCTCGATACTGCTCCAAGCAAACCACTCGATACACCTCCAAGCAAACCACTCGATACAGCTACAAGCAAACCACTCGATACAGCTTCAAGCAAACCACTCGATACAGCGCCGAGCAAACCACTCAACAAAGTGCCAAGCAAACCACTCGAAATAGCTTCAAGCAAACCACTCGAAACCGCTTCAAGCAAACCACTGCAAAAAACTCCAAGCAAACCACTCGACACAGCGCCAAGCAAAACTCTCGAC